AATTAATAAAAATTATTAAAAATATGTATTATTTATAAAAGAGAACGATTATTGTAAATATAACGAACTATATATTCATAGCTTTAATGGCTGCGTTTATATAACAACCGCTGCTATATACAAAACATGCCCGCTGTTAGCGTAATTTCTTAACCAAAATAGCCCACTGAAAATGTGTTAAGAGATCTTAAGAGACCTCAGCATGAGATCTTAGATTTCAAGTGTCAATGGGTGCCGCCATTTAAGTTTACGACCTCACTGTTTATTCTACTGTCTCTCCATTTTCGGCAGGAAATAATACATTTTTCGTAAAGTAAATGTAAAAATGAAAATATACAATGCAACTAATGAAAGCAAAAATAATCCCTCCCCGTCGGGGAATCGAACCCCGGTCTTCCGCGTGACAGGCGGAGATACTGACCACTTTTTTTTTGTAACATACGTTTATTGTACCGATAAATAAAACAATATATACAACAGGTACAACAAACCAAAAACGTACAAAGGATGAATTTGGCTTAAGTGTAATGAGATCAATGGCTCTAGGATAGAGCACTCGTAATCTTAACAGTAATCTTACTACTATCGCGCTTAACGTTACTTATATACTATGTACTACAGCTAACTAACTAAGCGGTAACCTTTATGGTTATGTACAGAAGGCACGGTAAACTGTACATTTATCTTTGGTTTATTTTTTGGATGGAGAAAAGAAGAGAGAAGAGAGAGAAAGGGTGTATAAATTATTTATAAGTAGGTGGTAGTTATTTTTTTTTCCCTTAGATTATGGTGTTATCTGCGTCGTTTTATGTTTTGCAGTATTAAGATGAATATAAGTTGAGGGAGACAATTATAAGATAATATAATACTAATGAGTATTGTACATGGTAGGAACTGGGGAGTATAATAGTAATAATAATCATAATAGATGGCGTACAATAATGGTAGCTGTTTTAATACTAGGGTTAAAAGTATATAAATATGAATATCAGATAAATATAGCAGGAAATAAAAATAAAATATGATCCTCCCCGTCGGGGAATCGAACCCCGGTCTTCCGCGTGACAGGCGGAGATACTGACCACTATACTAACGAGGATTTAGTGTCAATTGTTTTTTGTTTATTCGTGTTTCTGTTTCATTGTTGTTAGGTGGTTAGTGTTGTAGCCACCAGTACTTCTTTTTGTTACGTCGGTGTGTGTCTTTCTTATCTATTTTTGAGAGTTTGTAGTTGAGTCGTGTGTTTGTGTCGTTGTCATTTATGTCCGTTGAGTAGAGAATCTTTTTGTTGTCTGCTTTGCGTGTGGTGTGGTAGATGAGTGGTGTGTTGTCTTTGTCCTGTATGTATCCTTGACTGTCGAGGTGTGTGACTGCTTCTGGTGGGATGTATCCTGTGTATCGTGTCTTTTCGTGGTATTGTGGGTTAGGGTATGTGAAGCTGTATATGAGACTATTGTTTGTTACGTTTCTGATGTTTGCCCAGTGGTTTCTTATGAGTTTTAGTATGTGTAAGTTTATTCTGAAGTTGATTTCTACTATGAAGTTGATTCTGTTTGTGTTTAGTTCAACGGCCTCTGCGATTCGGGCCATTTGATTATTTATTGAGTTGGTAATTGTTTTTATTTCTTCGAGAAGTGTTGGGTGGTGTGTGTTGGTTGTCGCGTTTTGTGTGTTTTGTGTATTGTTGGTGTGTGCGTATCTGTGTGCGTCTGAGATGCCTGGGTCCACGGTTCTACGTAGTAGCTGTAATTTTCTCTCTCTTTCTTCCTTTAGGGACTGTTTTCTTTCCTCTATCTTTTGTTTGTTTTCTATAAGTTTTGGGCATGCTCTGTAGGAGGCGGGGTGTCCAAAGCTTTTACAGGTGACGCAGTAGGGTTTAGTTTCAGATCTTTTTTCTCGTGTGCATTCGCCCGGGTTGTGCGGAATATTGCATTTCACGCATCTATATTCTAGGTTGCAGTTCAGTGCAATATGGCCAATGCGTTGGCACCGTTTGCACTGAACTTTTTTGATAATTTTCTCCCAAGAGATTATAGAATGAAGGACTACTTTTATTTGTTTTCAGTTATCTGTTTTGCTGTTGGGACACAGCTGGACAATGTATATGGGCAGATTTTTTTTTTCTGCTATGGACCGTTTGGTTTCGAATTTTTGAATAGCTAGGAAGTGCAGGTCGTTAATATTTTTTGAGCGGAGTTCGTCTAGTATTATTTCTGGCTCGAAGTTGCCATCTAGATTTTTTATGAGAATGGAAATATTTTTCTCCATTCTCGGGGTGTACGTATAATAAGGAATGTTTTGTGTTTTAAGTGTGTCGCAGGTTTTTTTATGCGCATCTGTGGTGTCTATGTACAGAAGTTGTTTGTTGTAATTTATTTTTTTTGTGTAAAAGTTTTTTGTTATTTTGTTAGTTATATCTATTATTGCTTTGGCGGGAGTATCTATTATAGTGATTGGAGGTTTTACTGCTTTAGTTGATGTTTCTGTGGTGGGGTTATTGTCGGTTTTTACCCTTTTTGTGGCTGGAGCGGGTACTGTTGTAGTAGGTGGTGGGCGCTGTTGGCTCGTGCTCGGCCCTGCGTTCGGGAGTTTGGGGCTGCTATCTGCCGTTGGGCTGGGTGTGGGGCTCGTGTAAGGCCTTTTTCCAGAGGCGACTTTAGTCCATGCGTCCTTATTAGGTGTTTCCCGATGGGTGTCCCTTAGGGCCGTGGGTTTTTCCGCTAGCCTTCTCGTTTTGGTGGTCGGTTCTGTCTCCTTTTTGTTCCGCTCTCTTTCTTCTTTTAACTGGTTTGTTAATTCCTCGACTGTTTTAGTTAGTTTCGCTATTAGTTTAAGCGCTTCTTCTAATTGGTTCTGCTGTTGCTTTTCGGCTTTCTTAGTTGGTGACATCTCTGCGATGGTCCGTGGAGGGTTTTGTTTGTTGAGTAAATTTGGTGTAGTTGTTATTATTTTTTTTACGCTATTTCTAGGCTTTGTTATGCCACTGATTTGGGCATTTGCTTTCTGGGTGCACTTTAGGGTGAGACCCTTCACTTTTATATTTTTTATAATATTTTCTATGCACTTATTTGTTAAAGTTTCATCATTTTGCATTGAGTTTGTGTTTATTATGGTCACTGTTTTCAGGGTTACATCCCCTTGGTCGTTATTTAAGTTTTGTATTTCTTTTATGTTTGTATTGTTATTAATTTATTTTGTGGAGTTGTAGCACTGTATGCGGCACACTATTTTAACTCGGAAAAATGAATACAATGTATCTGGGCTCTTACGCTGTTCGTCGGACACGTCCGTCGCCCACGAAGGTCAGGTAGGTTCTGAGATGGGATACTAACCACTATACTAACGAGGAATCGTGATACGTAGTCTCTTAAATACAGTATATAGATAGAAATAATTTATATTTAATCTCTTAGGTCTATAAAATATTTCAAAGCTTACTCGAACTCTTTAGAATTGACAATTAGGCGAAATAACCTAAAAATCTAGCGATATTCAATTTATAACCTTAACAATAATCATTATTATACAATTTATTTGAAGCATTTCCTTGTCAACAGTGACAATAAAAATCACCTAAGAATAAGGTAAAAAAAACCTGCGTCAACTAGAATTCTGGTGTAACATACGTGAAATCGGATCAGAATAACGTAGGGGCATAGTGCATTACGTTTATATAAGCGTAGCGCACGCGTTTCGGGCTTAGTATCGGAGTATCGCTCGCGCGGGTTACTCGGTGTACGTCTGTCCATCTCTTTCCGTATTGATATCTTACTTTCTCTCACTACCTTTCTTTCTTTTGCTAATTTTCCGGGGCTACGCTGCTGACACATCAGTGCACACTTCCCATAATAAACAGCAAAAGCTTAGTGTAGCCCGCGACGGTGGCCAGCGGTGGTGCGTAGCTGAAAGTGCATCTCTATCCCGTATATACAGTAGTCGAGAAAAACAGAAATGACCAAGTATTCGATATTCATTGCCGTGGTGTTCCTATTATGTGGTAAGTGGCGATTCGACGATTGGACGGGTCGTGTATCGACACAAGGAAGTAGATACGTTCACTACTGTGGTTTATTTTAGTTTATTCATTATTTTCTTTTATACGATTGGAATTCAACGATGAATCACGATGCGTAGTATCACACAAAACAACAGAAAAAAAACAAAACAAATGAGAGAGAAAGGGAAGGAGCAGTTCACATGTGCAAAATCATGCTTATAAATGGAGGAGTTTTTTTCGCTAAAAGGTTGTTTTATGGACACTAATTAGGATTAGTTGTCAAAAGTAGCACTTGCAGTCCATGAAACTAAGATTAGCGTTACTGACGAAATAATATTTTTCGAAAGTGTTGGCCAATGTGTTCTATCGACCAGGAGATCGGTGGATCTCGAATCTCAACATTCGATTCCACGATCAGGAAATAATAACGACCTTCGATCGCGCTCACATAATCGATAACAATACAACACTATCGGAGATTAAGTGTATCTACATCTAATTTTCGATTTATCGAGGTTTAAGTGTATACAAGTTTTAATGGCTGTTTCATGGTAATTTTTTTGTAGAAATGCTACAATAATCAATATGATTGCTGGAGCTAAATAATACATTATTCTCTCTTTGTGCCGGGCAAATACTTATCATCAGGACACACGTATGACGAATGCACAGATTACACGTTGATTCAACTCGTGCACTTTGTACCCCATGAATCTGCTTTGATCCTTTTCCCGGAAAACATGCATTTAAAATGCGAAAAATGTACCTATGCATTATTAAAACATTATACAACACATAACATATACGTTTTTATTATAATTTGCTTTATATGATTGCCTTAAAATAAATTCTACGTACATCATAACCTATAAATATATTCTAATCGAAACCTGTTTCGATTGTATTGACTTTAAACTGGGTGAAAAACTCCTTTAATAATACTTGAAAAAACTGGATATGCGGGTAATTTGTAATTACAAATTGGAGTAATACAAAGTTCGTGTAAGATGACGTGTTCATCTATGAGCAGGAAATCCTACGAAAGAAAATTTTGAATAGCTAAACTATTTAAACCCTGACATGTGATGGAGTTAAAACCTTAAAAACGTGTCTTGAAGCTATAGTTAGTCGTTAATCTTTCATTGTTTAGTTGGTTTGTTATTATTTAATTTTTAAACAAAAAATAACAGTGAATAATACATTATTTATAAAATACTTCCCAAAGTATTTGGTTATGAATTAAAAAGTTAATATTTTTCTTCTTCACTTTAGGATTTCTTGGACATACCAGGTCTCAAGGAGATGTACCTAACACGGAAGAAGTATTGAACAAAGTCTCTCAAGTTGTAGACTTAAACAGCCTCAATATAACCAAAGGCATAAACATGAATGATCTCAACTCAACTGTAACATCCACTTTTGAAGAAGCTAAGAAATCTTTTACTCAGAAATGTGAAAAAAATGGAGGAAAATATGAAGATGTTGCAAATGCAAGCGAAAAGTTTAAAAACTGCCTTGAATCCTTTGTACAGATTTCAGAGTTGACAGAAGAGATGGAAAAATACAAGCCCACAGGAGATCTAGATTTGGTGTTCAAGAACTATTGCAGAAAGACTCCTATGCTTAAAACATGTGTCAGTAATTACACAGCAGTCATAGAAACTTGTTTGGAACCAAAGGAACGAGAGAATGTGAAGATAGTTCAAAATATCACAGACTCTCTCTTAGATTTTATGTGCTACAAGGAAGGAGATCGCATTGCTCGTATATATATTTCTCTTTTAAAATGTTTACCATAGGAAACTACTATTACTCTTTATCATTGTTAAAAAGAATTGGTTATTGCTTACAGTTTTCATATCTGCTGATGGACCAGAATGCTTGAAATCAAAACAAGATGAACTTGCAGAATGTTTCAATAATACTTTTCTAAGTTATATACCACAACAAAGTCCCAATGGGTCTTTACCAAAGGAACTTCCTCCCTTTATTTTTGGAACCAAAGAATGCACGTAAGTATCACTGTATTCATATAACAAGTGAAAAGCAAAATATGTGCAAATATAAAACATGTTTCATGGTATTTGTGCAGAGACATTACAACCTTTCAAACATGTGGTGTAAGGGAACTGGAAAAGTGCTCAGATCCAACACCAGCAAACATTGCAGATTCTGTATTCAATTATATTTTGAAAGTAACACCATGCCAAAATTTGATAGGGGATAAAAGTGCTGCTTCCAACTTGACAGTCAGTTTGTTGGTTACAATGAGCATAATGTTTTCATTGTGGAGATTCGTATGAAATGAATTCCAATAAACTTCTTGTACAAAGAAACATGATTTTGACAAACAATCATTTTCTTAAGTTAATTATAATTTCATGTATAAAATTCACTCTGTAAAACTACCTTACTTTTCAATGAAGCATGTTACAGGATATGGTACTTTTAAAAGTAAGATAACACCCAAATGTACAACAAGAAAGTTTCTTTGGTCTTTCAACTTTTTGTCATGACTGTAACAAGCCAAATTTGTACTCTTCTAATGATTCAGGTGCTTCAGAATATACTGACATATTTGAAATGGTCCATTTAAGTGACGTTATAATCATAGTAGAAATCAGACCTTTCTTCACTTTTGCTACACTTGGAACATAAATATTACAAATTATGCATAATAATAAGACTCAGTCATGAGAGCATGACTTTAGTCATCATTCACATTTTTATTCTTATTTTTAATATTTAAGGTGACACGTGTTTCTTCATTGTATATAATAATGAAAGTCTTTGTTCCTGTACAATACAAATCTTTTCGCATTGGTATAAATTTGATTTCCATACCTCAACAATAAACGTACTTCAGATTAATGCCAACTGTGTTATAATATTCTTCGAGAATAAGCAATTCTATTTGTGTCACTTACGTACTTTGAATAAACACTACGTAATACTCTACGTAAAAACATTTCTTAAAAGACGCATCACATGTCTTCGATTTGATGCGCGCGAAATACTCAAATAGAAAATAATTTCCTCTGTAGCTGGCAGGAGCCACATAAATTTCAATGGCTGCGCGCACCGCATCACGCTTTTCTTAAAACAGCTTGCCTATTGGCGAATACCTGACGTTAATAGATAATTTCAATTAAGATGATTTCTATGTCAATTTTTAAAAATAATTATTTACAATAATTATTACTTATAAAAATTACATTTTCAAAAGCCTTTTCTATATTTTCATATATAACAATTAAGCAAAATGCACATAAAATTAAATTGGAAACTTCTAAACTATTTTATAAATTGGCACACAAATGGTCCGAACTAAATTTCTACAAAAGGAAGAAATGTCGCCACATTTATAAAAAAAAAAGCGCGCGCACGCGCGTTTAGAATTTCGGGGTATTTCGTTAGAGTTCGAGCAAGTTCGCGGAAGACAGTGCACTTGAGAAAGCCCGTCGCAGGCTGTCTCGACGTGTATGTTTTGAACAGTTCGCAACATGTTAATGAGTTTTTATCAGATTTTAATTAAAAGTTCATGCAGTGCGTTCAGTATACGAAAGAAAATTAATAGTGCAAGACATTTACCCTCTTGATCAAGTATTTACTTTAGAATCAATTGTGCAATAAGGAAGGTGAAGAACGATGCCAGGCAAAGGGGGCAGAAGAGGAAAATCCGGTACGATTTTTTATGTATTTTTCATTCTACTTCTACTACGTTAATTTTTCATTGAAAAAAATTCTTATAAAATTCCTGGCAGTCGCAACGTGATAAGAAGATTCTCGATTGTTAACTTTATTAAATTATCGACATTCTCCTTGAATGACTCATCCAACGGATGAATTTTAGTTATTTCATCGTGCGTCACGAGTGGATTATCAATTGTTACTTTTTATTTTTCTTTAAAATTTCAAACATTTATCGATTAATTATATGTCGGAAAAATTATATCGATTTACGGTTGTAATATATTCAAGGTGAGACAACATCTGACATGACTACCAATCCCCATGTGACTTTCATGCTTTTCGCACATGGGTTTGGGTTAGGCGCAAAACAGAAAATTCGATGTTTGATTTAATCGAGGCGCGACTAATCGCTGGTTTTAAATTATATTTCAGGTACACATAATACGCATGTTGGCTTTGTTAATGTAATTTCGTGATTTTCGTGCAATTAGTAGAGCAGTTAAGGTTAGGTAGATGAATTGTACAATTCAAGACGACGACCATGCTTTTTTTGAATCATTTATGCTAAATTTAGATCGTCATGCGTAATAGCCGTTGTTTATCATTAACTGATTACAACTGACTGTGTTCAGTCTTACATGCAAACCATAGTTTTTACATTTTATTTTATTGACAATAATGTTAATAATGTCAACATTCAAGAAATATGATCCTTTAATGCATATTTTGATTGTATGCAATTTGTTTATTAATTGAGTGCCATTTGTGCACAATTTTATATAATTATCCATGCACGTCATATATTGGCATTTTAATTGCCTCCTGATGAAAGGAAATGTGTATCCATGTGTGTCATACAATATGTTGCAATAGTTTTCTTTTCTTAGACATTGCAGGTCACAGGTATAATTTTATGGTTTTTTATGATTAAAGTTTTAATTCTGTATGGATTTATCAGAATCCTGCCTGATCTACCACATATGCTAATTGTATCAAATGTCAAGAGTAACAGCTGTTTAAACTGCACTTTATGTAACATGACATTTACTTTTAACAGCTGTTATATTTAACTATAAATTAAATGTAAATACTAATTGTTAATCACCAAAATTATTAATTATTTAATTGCTCTCTTGTTTTCAATAAACATTGATGTTATATTAAAAAATATAGAGAATAAAACAAAACAGTCCTTCCTTATTATCCTAATTTTCTAGGTAATTATACCAACATGTAAATTGATGATAACAGAGGAAATATTTTTTCTTGCAGGTCATGGTGGAAAAAGAGCTGAGTTAACATCTGATGAAGATTCCATCAATAATGATGCATGTAGTGTATCCAGTAATCAGTCTGATAACCGCAGCATGTTAGATGATGTGAATGACAATGAGGTAGATGAAATTGCGCAGCAGGAAGCATTTGAGGAAAAACTGAAGGAAGCAATTGATGGTTTGACACAAAAGAGTGCAAAAGGCAGGACAATTTGCTTTAATGGAATTGAGAAAATTTTTGCTGTCAAATATGTCCCAGAGTTTGTGGAAGACAGGAAGATGACTATCACAGATTCTGTGGAACGGGGCTTAAAAAAAGGGCGTACTGAAGAGCAATCTACAGCAGCCAGATTAAGTACTTTACTTTGTGTTCAATTAGGTGCATTTGAAAGTGCAGAAGTAGTCTGCCGGGATTTAAAAAGTATTCTTACTTTTATCGCGAGCGACACAACAGCTTCGACTCAAACTCGTTCAGAGGTAAACTGAAGAATAAAGTAGCAGTTCAATTTATACATAAGTAATGGACCATTTTATTTTTGCAGTGTTGCTGGGCTCTGAGTATGAATCAGTTCTTATCAGGCAATGATGCAACTGACACCATTGAAATTGTGCAATTACTATCGGGTATCTTTTCTGGTTCCTACTTAAAAGGAAATGGTGCTATAGCGACTATATCTCCGGAAGTTGCAGCGTTGCACGCTGCGGCAATTTCCTCGTGGACATTACTTTTGACAGTCATGGCATCAGCTGACGTATACAATTTGCTTGCAAGCGATAGAACCAATAGTTACATGCCGTGAGTGCCTTAATGACTCATCTAACCATAATTATACATGCAGTATTACATAAAATGATGACAATGATTGTTTTTATTTGTAGGTCCCTGAATAGATTACGTGAACTACTACAATCACCGCATTTGGACGTAAGGTTGTCAGCTGGAGAAGCTCTTGCTGTAATATTTGAGTTGGGTCGAGATTTCTCCTGCGATTACGAGCAAGATTGGTCGCTGGATTTGATTGAAGCATTGAAAGAGCTTGCCACGGATTCTAACAAGTACAGAGCAAAGAAAGATCGTAAGCAACAGAGAGCTAATTTCAGAGACATACTTCGTTACATAGAAGTGAGTTTCGTAACGAGAATACAGATACAATTTGCACGCAATTATGTCCTCCATGACGATTATTTTAATCATTATTAGGAGGATATTGTACCAGAGATGCACGTTAAATTTGGCCAAGAAATTCTATACTTAGAGGGATGGTGTGCACGAACTCAGTACAACGCATGCTGTAGGCTATTGGGTCCGGGTATAAACATTCATCTTGCGGAAAATCAGCTTCTGCGCGAAATTTTCCATCTTGGTAACAAAGTTTTACCAATACCGTTGAATCAAAAGACAAGCAAATTGGAAAGAGTAAGTTCAATGTCCTTATAAAACAAAATTTTGACTATTAAATTGATTAATTTTTTATTATGTTCATAGACATTGATGAATGCAGCTGCATTTAAGGCACGCACTATTCAACGTAATAAAAATAGAGACAAAAGATCAGCAGCCTTGGCACCGTGATTCTTCAACTTTCTGCTTTTATACGTTAGATAATTTCTTTTAAAAATAATAAAAACTCGATTAAATTTTTTATTTATTGCAACTGGTCTATGATTAAAGAAAAAATACTATTGCATATTATTCTGCATCGCGATAGTCTATTTTAAATTGTAAATAGAAATGAACGAAAGGGACAACAAATTACACGCGGATTCTATTCCAGTTCGATGGAAAAAAAATTTAATCTAATTAGGCAAAAATGATTATCGTTGTACAATGTTATGTAATGCCATTTACGTTTTGTATATACGACATTGAAGTATGTATATACGCTAAACGCATTTGGTAGTATGGATTATATTTGTTTCTTTTATCGAATACAATAATTATATTGATGTCAGTTAATAATTTTGTAAAGTTTAATATTGTAAACATGTG